TCTCCCAGCTCTGCGTGAGCGTCGCAGTCGCCGCTGGGCTGAACGAGAGCGGAGGGCCGAAGGGACGGGTCCACGCTGGTTAACGTGCATGTGTGTATGATTTGGGGAACAGGACGTTGACGGCTGGGTGCTGTAACAGGTAGTATTGTAAGTTATTGTGAAGCGCTGAGTTCAGCTCCCATACCCAGTGCTTGTGTATTTAGAAATCACACCTTAAATTACACAGTAACTGGTTTTTATGTCCCCTTCCCAAAGGAAATTAAAACGGTCTGATGGCGGTGAGAATGTCACGCATCACGTAAATTGATTTCGGTGGTGGTTACTGTCCGTTCGGCCTAGAAGGCTGGGGATTCCTGTAGCGCGTGGGCTGCCCAAGCTGTGAGGATGCAGGATCTTGGTTTCGGAGAGTGTCAGTAAGCGCCACCTGAATCATCTGGATCCTTTAGCTTTCTCCTGTGTCGGTGGGTGAGCGTCATGAATGTATGCTGGAGCCCAGCACAGGCTGTGGCCTGAAAAACCTTCAGTTCATGTTCTGGACTTACGAAGAATCTCGCTTTGAAACTTAAATTTCAATCTAAATTAACAGTGTATTTTAAAATAACGTTTTTGTCTGAGAACTTCCTAGGCGTGTGTTGATTTTATAAGAACTGGTGCCTGTGACCTGTTGTAAATTGGTTTTTCTTATTAAAGATCATGTGTTGCCAGTTCAGTGCGTGGCAGTTGCGACGAAAGCAAGGTGGTTTGGCCAAAACAAAAGCAGCCCTGAGTTAGGGGTGACCACTGACAGCAGTTAGGTGTTTTTAAAGTGTATTTATGTTCTGATGGATCTCTCAGGTAGGTTCTGATCTCTGAGAGGTAGATTCTGATGGGTCAGTCTGATGGAGGCGCTCGCTTGGCCTGGGGGGGGGTTATTTCAAGGTCTGATCACTGGGGCTGGCACAGGGGTTGATGGATGGCTGTGCAGAAACATTTGCACCCCAGCGTTCCCGAGAGAAGTAAATATCGTGCATGTGCAGTAACTGCTGTTGGTGTTCTCAACCAGTAACTGAAATCTGGCAGAGCCTCGTCCTTCGAGGACTGTGTGCCTGCCAGAACGGAAGTTTTAGTTACTAGATTGCACGAGTGTGTAGTCAGGTATTTCCTGAACGGTGAAGCTTTATCATCATGATAACAATGGAAACACCTGGAAGGATTGGGGATTTTCTTATATTCACTTAGTACTTTTGTGCTGGGAGTCAGCCTGACACGTTTCAACCCAAGCCAAACGCTAAAATGCTGCTGTTCCCTCAGCAGTAATTAGGACTGTCGAAGGTTGACGACTTGATTGTCAGTGGATGGTGTGGCGGAGTTTTGGGCTCAGTGCTAATTGGTGCCTCATGAGTATCAACAGACAATCTGGGCCGTTTCTTTGAGGGGAGTGTTCTTGGGGCACAGTGTTGCACGGGTTGGTGGGACTCGCACGTGTGTCCAGCTCCACCTCTTGCTCAAAGCGGGTCTGGTTTGAGGAGGTTCTCTGGGCCCTTGTCCAGTTGGGTGGTGACTTCACGGCGTCTCCGAGCCTCTGTTGCACCGTTCGACCGTCCTCACTGTACATACGTGGAATATATGTGGCGATGAAGCAAGTTTTGCCTTGCTCCTGCTTGTGTGTGCTCGTACTTGTCCTTTCCCTGGCACCGCTGGGAAGAGCCTGGCTGTGCCCCCACCCCGTCACCGACTTGGCCGACAGTGGCGACTCCCGCGGCGCAGGCCGGGCAGTCGGGGAGCAGCGGCCTCCCCTCACGCGTTGTGCTCCAGCCCTGATCATCTTGGTGGCTGCTGCTGGCTTGCCCAGCTCTGGCAGTCTGTCCTGTACTGGGAAATCCCAGACTGGGCCCAGTGTCTAGGTGTGGTCACTGAACGGAGGGAGGGAGCGCTGCCCTGGACCGGCGAGGTGCGCTGGCCTGTTTTGGTGAAGGGTGTGGTGGTGACGCCTGCTCAACTTCTTGTCCATAAGGTAGTTTAGACACTGTATTTTGGGACATTAAAGGGAGGTCAAAGTTACCTTTTTATACTGGGTTTTAGGGATTTAGTACTCTTGAACGTCATGTAGCAACCAAAGGATTGATAGAATTGCCTATTACTGGCTAGAGCTGATGTTGAAGGAGTTAGATCTTAGGAAAATATGAATTTTAGTGTGTAATGCACATGTTTGGGTTCAGTATTTGAATAACCTTTGAGAGATTCTTTGGATTTATAATTCTGACCCGCTGCAACGACACCCTCGTTAGCTCAGGGACGGGGGGATCCAGAGGCGAACTGCGCGGCTGGAGCACAAAGTGCTCTTTGTAGGGCCTTACCCCTCGGTGCGTGCTTCGCCTGCGTGCCGTGCGCTCCCCCCGGCAGATCGATGCTCTCCACCCCCGGCGGTGCCCGGGTCGTTGGTGCCCGAGGATGGCTGGGGCTTAGAGCTTCCATGACTTCCCTTACTGCTTTCTGTTCTTGGTTTAAGAACCGCTCAGCTGGGCTGTGACGTGTTTGTTTTAAGGTGACTGAAGCCAACTTGGACTTGAGGTCAACAAGTGGGTGTGTGGATCTGTTACTGTGGATGCTTTGCTTTACTAGTGTTTGCAGTGAGTAGGTTAGTTTCCATGGCTTGCTGTAACTGTGTTCCCCTTTCCTCCTTCCCCACTTCTCCTTTCTCTAACCCCAGGGCTGTGGTGGTGAGGCTCCCAGCCAGCTTCTCCCCGGGGTTTGTAACCAAAAGCTGGAAGACCAGACGGAGAGGATGGTAGTACGTGGGTTTGACCAGGAAACAGGTTAATTCTTACTGTCTCGGGAAGCCTTGCTTTTCTACAGATGGTCCCTGAAACATCTGATGGAATTCCAGAAGGGAATTGCTAGACGGGGGGGTAGGGAGCAAAGGATAAGATTGAGAAAATTCCAGTTTTTCTCTTGTGCAAGAGTAGTTGGTGTGAGTTGAGCACGCTGATGCAGCTCGGTTTCTAGTACAAGTGATGCTGAATTGTTCGTTCTGTGTGAGGTTGAAAGAGGGTGAGATGTGAAGTGGCTCACAGGGTGCTGGAGGGCTGCTGTTGGCAGTGATGGGCATCGGGTGTGGAAGTGAAGTGTCATTGCAGGGCTGTGGTCTGTGGAGATACCTGCAGAACACGGGGGCACCTGGGGTGCAGGGAGTATTTGAATAGGGAGGTGCAAAAAGTGGGGGGTTGACTGTGAGCAGGATTTGCGCACTCCCCATTCCCTGTGTCCCCCCGGCCAGGGTCAGTGGCCAAGGGGGAAGTACCTGTGGGCAGGATCCAGCCCGTGGGCTGCCGGTTGCATCGCTCTTGGCCTCAAAAGGCCTGATTTTATTCAAGCTTTCAGTGATTTGTCTGGTTTAGAAACAGAACCAAACCTGCCTTACAGGAAGAGTTTTGCATCTGTGGAATTTGACCTGTGTCAAGATTTGTGTTGTGCAAAGATTATAGATCTTGGGCTCCCCTCCCAGAACCTGGGACTAAAAATCAGGGTCAGCTCTGGTCTGATTTGGTGGAATAGTTTTAATGTAAGTGTTGGAGATTTTTGTTCAGTGAGTACACAGGTGGCAGCTGATAGGAGGCTTCGTGCGGTATTGCTGAAGAATTTTGTCTTTCAGTAGTAAGAACCTGGAAAGGTTCTGCGTATGGGGGAGGTGTCGTTGCGTATGTGAAAGCTCTTGTACACGTAGGTACTGAAATAGTGGTTATTTTTCATATCCTGCTCTTGGAGCACGTTCGGTTTGAGGAGACGGGGAACTTTCCGATGGATTATTGTTGTTGCTCTGCAGTGAGTCTTTGGGCTCTGAAGCCATCGTTAATTAGAGCGCTTGGAAAAAATGAATTTTAATTTACTACTGAGTTCATCTCCCTGAAGTCAGTCTTGCTGCTCCAGCTGAATTATCCACAGAGGAGTTGAGCATCATTTAATTACACTTCCTTTGCAGAGTTGTCTTAGGTGTCCCAGTGCATGGAAGTACCAAATCGCTTGGAAAGCTTCTCCTTGAAAATGATACTCACGTTCCAGTTGTGTAGGAACTTGCTTGGAGACTAGATGATGCTTCTGGGCAGAGAGTGTTTCCTGCTGCCTCCGTGGTAAACCGCTTCTCACACCTTTAGCGTGGGTTGTTTATGGAATGTCTCTGAAGGTCAGTTTGGTTGACGTGCGAACTGCTTTGGAGCTCTGCTGGGAATTGAATTTAGAGGGTAACAAAGCAGGGAAGGAACTGAGCTGATGGCCATCAGTGTTACGGCGGGGTGTGCACACGCTCGCGCGTGCGTGTGCTGCGGAAAGGCAGGTGCAGTTTGCTCTCGACCGGTGTTTTCTGATGTCGGCCTTCCCTGCAGGACGCTGTTTGGAAAAACCCCGAACCCTTTGGAGAGTTTGTGTTACTGCGTCCGCCTGCCTGGCCTCGCGGAAGCAGGTTCTGTTGGAAAACACCCTCCGTTGTATCTGGGAGCGTACCGGGACGTGCTGCCGCCCTGAGTTCACGTGGATGTCGCTGGAGTCGCCCTGATGGCCCAGGCGCAGCTCGTGTGCTCGTCCTGAGGCCAGCTGCACACGCGGAGAGTAATTAACAGCTGTCTTGAGTTTAACCAGCTGAAACGAGGGGGAGAAACAGGGACGGTGGCTGTTGGGGGAGAACAGATGACTTGGCTAAAAACACGTATCTTTTCAGGAGGAAATCAGTAGGGAAAACTGGGTATAATGTAGAAATTGTCTCAGCCTCACTCTAGGTAAGGGGCCCTTTTCTGAAGGGGAGTGCTTTGCGGAGGCTTTTTTGTGTGTGGTGTTGTTGGGGTCTTTGCCGGGGGGAACCTGTTGTACCTGGGTAACAGCTGTTCTTTTTGGGGAACGTCAGCTGCGGAATCTGCTCGCTGATCCGAGTGGAACGAGCAGCCCGAGGAGTTTGTGTTTGCTCTTGTCGTTCTGGGCATGCTGGTCTTCACGTTCTTCTTCCTAAAACGGGGAAACCTTCTGTGTTGCAGTTGGTGTGATCCGGTGCCCCATATGCCGCCAGGAGTGCAGACAGATTGATCTGGTGGATAACTACTTTGTAAAAGACACCTCCGAAACACCCAGCAGCTCCGACGAGAAGTCAGAACAGGTATGGCTCGCGCTCGCCGGAATTCACGTGCGGGTGCTTCTGGACGCGCTGGCGCTTTCGGGAGCGTGGTGCTGACGGTCTGCTCCCCCTCGCAGGTGTGTACGAGCTGTGAAGACAACGCTAGTGCTGTGGGATTCTGTGTGGAGTGTGGCGAGTGGCTGTGCAAGACTTGCATTGAAGCTCACCAGCGCGTAAAATTTACTAAAGATCACATGATCAGGAAAAAAGAGGATGTATCCTCGGGTGAGTGTGTGCATATCCCTTAGTCCTGCCCAGAGGAAGAACGTTTTCTCTTTGGCACATGTGAAGAGAGGGAGGGAGGATTGTTCAGGTGACAACCAGCTGCGTGGCTTTCCCCAAAGATTTGGGAAAAGTTCAGTAAAGAAAATACCAGTGCAAAATTGGGAACTCTAAGTGTAGAGGAAAACCAGCATTTTAAAGTGAAATGGGTTATTTCTATGGTTTGATGTCCAGTGTAAAAAAAATCTTAAGTACAGAAGAAACAGGCTGAGGCTGCAGCCTTTGGAAGGGATTTAGATCCATTCTTACTAATTTAGTAAGTATTTAGCAGAACAACTAAAAGGAGGGGTTGGAATCTGGAGAGCAGTGACATGGGTAACCTTGTCCGTTGGCCCAGGCAGTTGTACGTTTTGCTGTACTGGGCTGCAGGGAGCGGTTCCGGCTCTCCCAGTGGAGCGGGACGTGCGGATAAGCTTATGGTCATACTCAGCGTGTCACTGCTGTACTGGTACTGCTGAGTAAATGTGGAATTTGAATCTATTGTGGGTTTAATATCCCAGTTAGCAAAACGTGGTGTGCAAAGCGGGTGTACAGCCTGTTCCGACATGCAGCTTTATTAGCAGTTAATTCTTCAGCTGTCCTTGGACCCTGGATCGCTTGTATGCTGCGGCAGTGTCAGAGATGTTCTCAAAACAGGGAGAAGGTAACAGGATTTTAGCTTAGAAGATTTTACTTGTAAATGAGCTAAAAGTGCTCATTTAAAGACCCGCAGGCTCTGCACGACCTGGGTGCATGTGAAGACCAGTCATACTGAGGAAGAGAGCTGGACGTGCTGCGCTCTCTCCACGTTTAAAATAAAGGCCTTCCCAATTGTTTGGTTGTGCCATCCCAGAGGAGCCGCGCTGCTTCGCTTTCTGCCCCCTCTCGTCAGAATTGCCGTAGAAAGTGTGCTGTTGAGCTTTGTTCCTTTGCACAACGACCTTATTTCACTTGCCCTGTCAAATAAACCTCTTTTCTGGAGAGGTTTCCCTGCATGTCTCAATGAGAACTGGTTAATGAGCAATGTTACCTATTTACATATGGTAATCCTAGTGGACGAGAATCCCTTAAGGCGACATCAAATTACAGGGCCCTACGCAGGAGCAGGAGCACTGACGTTTTCCATTCGGAGTGCTGCCTTCCCATGTCCAGGTGATCCTGTAGCTCCACTTCCCCTTCAGTACCCGAGTGGGGAGGTGTTCCCATAAATGGCCTTTCTGCAGTGCAGGCCGGTGGTCGCGGAGCCGAAGACGTGGTCACGCTGGGATGTAGCCTGCTCCGACCCGAGGCACGGCGACCCCTAAGAGCTCTCAATCGTGCGGAATGACTGCTCCTTATTTTCTCAGAGAGGCTTGTTCCCTTTTCCCTCGTTAGACCCCAGGATGTGCCCTGGAGACTTTAACTGTCCGTCAGTGAGTGCCAGCCGTAGGTTCAGGAGCCCTCTCCGTGCAGCAGCTTGCATGATACAAGCTGCAGAAAAGCTGGAGGCTGCGGAAGAGGCTGTTGGTTTGAACCCTCCCGCTGCGGCGTCCAGAGGCCGCGTTCCTCCGTGCTGCGCGCGGGTACCTCCAGGAGGCCCTGCAGCCCTTCGCGGGACTTGGAACTAGTTTTGGCCATCATCTGGTGTTTGCTGAAGTGTGAAAGCCAGGCAGTTCAGGTGGGGTCCGAGCAACCCCAGCGCAGACGGAGTTTGCTCCGCAGTTACCATCCAGCTGCATGTGACCTCAGGAGGTGCATGAAGGCTTTGCAGTGGTAATTTAGCAAACCTCTGGGTGCTGGACGGTACGAAGGTGCGCGAGGTCTGAGCCATCCTGCAGTGTCAGAGATGACCTTGCGTGCAGTTCAGTCTTGGAGCACGTGTACACGGTCCTGGTGTTTGTGTACAGTTTTTACGTTCTTACAGGTGCCACTGTCTTTCCAGTGTTGTAGTGGGAGAGGGATTCCTCCTCCTCTTTGAACACAATAAAGCAGAAACTGCTGTAAACCACTGGCACTGTACATATTTCAATGGGAACATACTTGCAGTAACTTCAGGGTGAGAAGAGGTCTGCTGCTGCCTTTCTCCAAATTCCTGGTTGTTACTTATCTCAGAAGTTAGTCATTTTGCTCTTCAGACTGTCTAAATTTTATTTTAAAATGCAAAAATGGTTTATTTTTAAAAACAGAGGCCGTGGGAGCATCTGGTCAACGTCCTGTTTTCTGTCCTGTCCACAAACAAGAGCAGTTAAAACTTTTCTGTGAAACATGTGACAGGCTGACATGCAGAGACTGTCAGTTACTGGAGCACAAAGAACACAGGTACAAATATTACCATGTCTTCATTCCTGTGGTGCACTTTCTCAGAGGATGAAATGGCATTGATGTAAAGCGGTCGGGTCATTAAATGCTGTTGTACTTACTCTTTGTCGCACTGAAAGGAGAACCGTGGAGTGCTGAAAACTTGGAAGGGATCGGTTGGCTGAGCTTTGTCAAGTGTCAAGAGCAGGCGCAAACCAGGCTGGAGGTGGTCTGGTGGCACGGAGGTGTTGGCCTGCCTGGCGCTGGCGCTGGTCAGGACTGGGGTAGGAATTGCTGCGGCCCTGGGCAGCTGGTGCTGTGAAGAAGCAAAAGGGATAGAGTGAGGCACGGTGAGGTCATTTTTTGAAAGGGCATATTTTATTATGCAAATTATGCAACAGTCCTTCACTTTAGGGTGATTTTGTAAGGGGAGATGTCAGTTTTGCCTCGTAGGTTTCTAGTACAGAGGGAAAAATGGTTTGGTTTTAGTTGGTTGGAAGTGGCCGCACTCCATGTCAGAAGCAGTGGTGGGTTTTGTCTCCGGAGCTTGCTTTTCTCTCGGCTCCTAGAAGGAAGTTGGAACCTCTTAAGGTACATTAGGAGGTATGTTAAGGGGGTGTCCCTGCCCATGGCAGGGGCTGGAACTTGATCTTTAAAGTCCCTCCCAACCCAAACCCCTCTGGGTCTGTGATGGAAGTTGCCCGCTCTTCAGCAGCTCTGTCATAGTGCCTTGAATGTTTGAAAAAGGATTTTACCGTGTTGTAATGGAGAATCTGGAGATAAAAGGTATGGCTTTACCCACCACTGCAGCACTGCTTTTCCCAGCCAGTCTGCAAGTAACGCTTCTCCGGAAAGGTGCTTGGCAGTACGTGGGGATGCTGGGTTCCGTGGTGGTTTTCTTGCCGCGAGCAGAGATGACTGACTGCTACAGCAGCCCAACGCAGACCTTGAAATTAGCACTGTGACAGCATTAGCAATCCCAAATAATCCTGCTGTGTTCTCTCACAGGCTTGGTCATAGGCACCCTGAAAGACACCCTTGTCTGGAAAGCGCTCTGCTAGGGTGCGTTAACTAGTGTTAGCCGGCTTCCTCGCGTCGGTGGTGCGCGGGACGCTTCCCGAGCAACAGGTGTTGTTCTACTTCCCTGTTCCCTTCCAGTAAGGACAGAGACGACTTCGCTGTTACCGTGCTTTGTTGCAGAATATTCTTTAAACACACTGCCTGCAGCTGTGAGTCACAGATGGTCAGGGCCACGGCTTTGGCTGCTGTGAAGTGCAGCTGAGGTCTTGTGAAGCTCACTGCATCACAGAAGGAAAACCATGCCACGTGGAAACGAGAACTGATTTTCATTTCTTGTTTACTGGTTACCTGCCAACCTGATAGCTTGCACCCAAGGAGGATGAATCACCGTTTCAGTGACAGCCTGGTCCAGTGCTCTGTGCAGAACTTCAAGGGACAGAATTGCTGGTGATTCCCTAGAAAGCGGCGGTGCTTGGAGCAGCCATGGGCCTGCGATTCCTCTAGCCGAGGTAGCTTTCAGTCCGCACGCTCTGGCAGTTGGAAATACAATACAAGATATATATTTTTTAAAAAAGTGGTTTGGGGCTGTATCAGGAGCTACAGCAAAATGTAGCAGTTCTGGATTAAGTGTAGATTTTGGGTTTTCTCCTTAAAGTGGAAATCTGATTTTCAACTTAATGAAAACAGTTTTAGAAAATCTGCAGATCTCCAAACATTTCAAATTTTGTGGCCTTTGGACTTTAGTAATGCCACCTTCTGCATGACAGTACCTAAAATCCTGTGATGCTGTCTGTCTCCAGAACCAGACTGTACTTGAACAGCAACATTTTGGCACTGAGACACCCAGACTCCTGTTGCTGACACTTGTCTGCTGCCGGTACAGGCAGAATGAACGTGAGCAGAGTCCTTCCTGCTGTGATCAGTGTGCTCTTTGCCTAAGTGTCCCCGAGTACTTGGAGTCAAGAAGCAGTGCCACTGTAGATTTGATCCTGCGCCCAGTCTCCTCCTGCCAGGTCAGATCCTAACGTTCTCCTGGGTGTTGGCAGGCACGAGGCTTCTTTCTTTCCAGCGATGCTCTGCATTCCTTCTGCGGCGGCTTAAGATGCCTCGCTTCAACTGTAGGAGTCTTCCGCCACTTAGCGTGTTGGGGCTTAGCGTAGCGAGGAAGGGAAGATGCTCTGGGAACCACAGTTTTCCCTGTTGTTGATACATTCCGTTTCAGACGCCTGAGGTTTACTCACAGCAAAGCCGAGAAGCGGCGAGCGGCTGATGGGAATCCTGGGTTTGGGTGGAACGTTTTCATGGCTGAGCGGAAAAGAGAAAACTCTTGGAGCTGAATTCCCCTTGCCGTTTGTAACGGGGGCGTTTTGTGGTGCACCGTTCGTCCCTCGCGGGACACGCAGCGTGTTACGGAAACGCAACCGATGGCACTGTTTTCCTTCCTGTATCTCCTTGCACTCTGGTCAGAGGAAGTAACAGCAGGTGCCTGGGACACTGGCTGTTCGGTTGAAGGACTTGGAAGGGGATGAGATGTTCTTCACTTGGAAGTGAAAAAAAGTGGGGGTTTAATAGGAATATTTTTGTTCAGATTGAATTAGTTCAGTCAAATGTAAGCACTGTAATACCAGCTGAAAAACGTTTTCTGGGATAGCTTCTTTACCCTTCTGCTGTGTGTTTAAGCAGGTGGTGGGTTTTCCTCAGCTGACATTAACTGGATGACGTGTCTGGTACCTCCTTTAGCTGGGGTTCCTAGGCTGTGTCTGGCGAGGCGCCGCAGTGCGCTGGCTCCCGGTGGGGTTGGAGTTAGCAAGTGACCCACGGAGGTTCAGTCTTCTGGGCGTTACAGAGGAGTTTGTCAGTACCGGAACGTTTCCCATGCTGGTTGGCAAGCGTGCAGGTTGATATTCGTGCGTGTGTGTGTTCTCATATTTCGTGTACCGACTGTGTAGCTTTACCTCTGAATTGGGAACCCTCCGTTGCTGCTCGTGGCCCCTTGGTGATTGATACTTTCTTTTGCCTGTTGAAAAGGTACCAGTTTCTGGAAGAAGCTTTTCAGAACCAGAAGGGTGCGATCGAGAACCTGTTGGCAAAACTTCTTGAGAAGAAAAACTATGTCAATTTTGCTGCTGCCCAAGTTCAGAATAGGTCAGTGACCCAACCTGATTAACTCTTACTATCGCGTTGCCTTTTTAAGGAGCCAGGATTAAGAATTCCAGCATGAACTTCAATACAGCGTCATGCAGAACGTTGAACGTGGAGATGGAGAGCACGTGACGGCCACTGGCATCTCTCCCGCCTGTGCTGGCGCTCAGGGACTTCCCCTGTGACTCTCGGTGGTTTGTCAGCCCTCTGCAAAGTGACAGATCATCTGGAGATGGGAAGTGCCAGGGCAGAAGGAAGTGTACCCAGGACGTAAGGGGAGGTCCCATGTACGTGTGGGAGGGGAAAGGGAGAGGAGTTGTAAGGGAAGGAGAACATGTGACATGAGAGAGGCGAACGGGTGAAGACAGAAGCTGAGTGGGAATTTTTGTGCTGGTTGGGCATGATGCTCTCTGAAGCTGCCCAACGGAGATCACCATTGTGGAGCAGGGGGCAAGCTGTGGAATTGTGACGTGCTCGAGGAGATGTGCTACGGAGGTGAATGTATGCGTGCACACGCACGTGGTCTCGGCTGGATACGTCTGCATGTGCAAGCCTATAAATGAAGTGTAAACTGCAGGGCCTGGCTCCTGTTATTTTCAGTAAAACAAAGTTGTTAACTGAAAAACCATCTTGATCTCAGACTCTTTAAATTTTTTTCCCAAACGACAATTTTATATCGTGGCTTTGAAAAAGTGGATTAATGATGATTTCCCTGTTAGAAATCCAACAAGCTGTAAACTTTGCGCTTGTTGGCACGTACACAGTGCAGAAATGGGTCCTTCAGTCTTCAAGGTGGGAAGATGTGTGTGGTGTTTGGGATTTGGTGGCCTGTGTAAATGACTGCCTGACAGTGTTTCTCTCTTTTTAGGATAAAGGAAGTAAATGAAACTAACAAACGAGTAGAACAGGAAATCAAAGTGGCTATATTCACACTCATCAATGAAATCAATAAAAAGGGAAAATCTCTCTTACAGCACCTTGAGGTACAGTTAAGAGCAAAAATAAGTGTTGTTGGCTGTTTCCAGTCCCCTGTTGAGGAGTCCCATCCCTGTCTGAAAGCAGTGTGCTTGGTGTGCCTGCGGGTGCCGCGGTACGAATGCTGCCTACGAACAGCGCGTTGGAATTAGACCTCTTGTTTATCCTTTCACCAGCTGGAGCCGGCGGCTCCTTTGGTTTTATGTCTAGGCCTCAGACTCATTCAAAATCAGGCTCATTGTAAAGGAGTGTCTGAAAATCTCTCCAGTTCTGTTTGCAGTATTTCTGTCTTGTAACAGTTCTGGTCTTTCCTTCAAACCACTCTTTAAGGTTCATGCAAACACATTAGCACTGTGACGGTTGAGTTGCATCTTTTTGTCTTCTCCTTGTCTAGAAGCTTTTCTTCAGAGTGTGAACTCCTGGAGACAGGTCTCTGCTTTGTCTGTATGTGATGCTTTGTACGATGCTCTGTCGGTTGTGCTAGGGCATCGTCAAAGTGTGCAGGAGGGGAAGGCAGCAGGGCAGCGGGCAGGCTAGTATGAATTGTCACTCCTGGTGTCCTGTAGACTGCTTTGTTTTCCCGACACTTAACTGACACCTCGGGGAAGATCGGCACAGTGGAGTAACCGTTACTAATTGATGGTGCTACCCACGCTGAGCACTAGCGTGTGCTGCTCAGCTTGTGACTTTCTCTTGCTCTAAGAACAGTGATAGCGATTTACATTTTCCTCATAAATCTGAAGCTCCCATTGTAATAAAGTTTTTGTTTCTTTGTAGAATGTTACAAAGGAGAGACAGATGAAGTTAATACAACAACAGAATGACATCACTGGTCTTTCGCGACAAGTGAAGCACGTGATGAACTTCACGAATTGGGCTATTGCAAGTGGCAGCAGCACTGCTCTGCTCTACAGTAAACGGCTGGTAAGGTCCATCCCCAGACTCACCAGCCCGCGGCCGAGAATGCTGGGTCAAAAGCATTTTCTAGGTGTTGTACTATACACTAGTGTGTACTACTGCTAGTGTAGTACAAGGAAGAGACAATGAGTTGTTCATGCTTCATTTAAAAAAAACAACCAAACCACCCCCCCTTTCTATAATAAATGGCTAAATGTCCCAAATTGTACACCACTTTTCATCTGTAAATCCAGGAGTTAACAGTGTAGTAGAGAAAAGGGGTCAAGCTCTGTAAAGGCACCTCAGTGTTTCACTGGAGTTGTTACTACACCAGTAGCGTTCCTGTGTAACAGCACTTCTCACAGTCCTCAGACTTGAGGGACAAATTAGTCGTACGGGGGATGGTTTTCCTGGTGAATTGGTGCTTTCCAGGCTACACACCAAACTTGCTACTGACAGTCCGTGTTGGTGATCCAGCAGCCTTAAAGTCACTGGGCAAATGCACACTTCTTGATGTTCTTCTTTACTTTGTTGTCAACAGTCTTGTTTTTGCTTTCCATCAGATCACATTCCAGTTACGGCATATTTTAAAGGCACGTTGTGATCCTGTCCCAGCTGCCAATGGAGCAATACGTTTCCATTGTGACCCCACGTTCTGGGCCAAGAATGTCGTCAACTTAGGTGAGAAAACTCTTCCGTGCTCCTTGAAACAGAATCCTTGAAACAATCCTTAGATTGAGTTGGGAGGGTTTGTCCAGCATGGGGGAGTTGCAGTGCAACACATCTCTTCATGCAGAAGACAGAATGCTCCTGCCATAACCCATGCAGGCCTGATTCCCCTCTTTGTCTGCTCTTCTTTCTGTTGGCAAAGCGTTCTCCACAGGTGTCGGTTCCCAGTGGGAATGGTTCTAGGAATGGCCTGGTTTTCCCCTCTTAATGTGGTTCTGATGGTTACAGTGTGACCCACTAGTGCTAAATTGGTGCTTCAGTTTCTGGAATAAGAATTTTTTCCTGTCTGAACTCTGTATTTAGCTCCGTGTGGGGTGATGCTGGATGTCCTAACGTGCTGGAAGTTGCATGAATGAGCACAATTAGGAGGACAAATAGGAGCCAAGTCCGTGGCTAAGTACCACGCCAGTCTCTGGTGGCTGGAAGGGTAAATGAATTAAGAAGCAATGTTTAACTAGTCTTATTTTCTAAAATGTCTGACACCTTTATAAAGATAAAGAGAAACAGAGCCTTTTACCAGGAGATACTGCTGGTCCTTGGGGTGTGTTGCTGCCACGTGGTAGGTGACAGCACCGTAGCTGTAAACTTGTTCGATGTTAAATAGTTCTTAGTGCAGCTGTTTATGCCTTCTCTGCCCTAAAGCAGGAGCTGCCCTGGGGTTTGTATCAGTCTTGGCGAGGCAGGAGCTAGGGGGGCTCACGTTCTCCATGAGCAGTTAGTTAGTGACACCTGGGGTCGCTGGACACGCGCAGTTACGGTTACTGCACGCTGCTGCCTGTTGTCAGGTGCAGTAATAACCTGCTCTCCTAAGGCTGTAAGGTGTTTAACTCGCTGGTAGCATGCTTTGTGTCATGCTGGGGTAACCTGTCCGTCATTCAGTGAGGGGACACTCCACCAACCCCCAAATATCTTTCCCCTGGCTTTGCTTTCTCAGGTACAGAAACTTTTATGCTCAACATGGCTTTTCTCCTATTTTGTTTCTCACCTTGCCTGTTTGTTGTGAACACAGAGGTCGGTCGTCTCTGTCCTGTCTTTTAGGCTGCGCAGTTCCGGTTCCCTCGCTCTTTCCTCACACGTCATGTTCTTAGTTTTGCAATTTCTTCTTCTCGTAGTCCGAGTTTCCTTTTGCATCTCCCACGTATGGTTATGGAGCCTTAAAAAACGAGTTTCAAACTTAAATTGCTTGTTACTGCTCCAGAGGAAGCTGAATTAGAAACATCTGAATATTCTGCAGTTGCCAACCTTTGGATGATGATGATTTAACTGTTCACTGGTTCTTGTTTTGTTTAGGCAACCTTGTCATTGAAAATAAACCAACCCCTGGTTACACCCCTAACGTAGTGGTTGGACAGACTCCTCCAGGGACCAACCACGTCAACAAAGCCCCAGGACAGATCAACCTGGCGCAGCTCCGACTCCAGCACATGCAGCAGCAAGTGTATGCGCAAAAGCACCAGCAGCTGCAGCAGATGAGGATGGGGCAGCCCGCCGGGTCCGTTCCCAGGCAGACGAGTCCGCAGGTCCTGCAGCAGCAGGTAAGGATCTCGTGTGTTCTTATCTTGCCTTTTACCATAACGGAGACTTAAAATTGCCCTGTCAAATAGAGACTTACAAAGCAGTCTGTAAAGGTGAAATCTTGTGAAATTTGACATACTTTAAATGTGACCAGCTATTGGCTTTTCTTGATGTTGTGTAACTAGTAAACCTACTACTGTGGAAAGAGATTGGCTTCTTTTTTCCATGTTAAAAGCAAAGATTTTAAAAAACAAAAACCCTTGCAGCCTCCCAGGTTGATCAGCATGCAGACCATGCAGAGGGGTAACATGAACTGTGGGGCTTTCCAAGCACATCAGATGAGAATGGCTCAGAATGCTGCTCGTATACCAGGAATACCACGCCACAATGGACCACAATACTCCATGATGCAACCTCACCTTCAAAGACAAGTATATCCTGTGTACACGCTTCATTTGTGCCATTGTGCCCAACTTTCATTACAGTAGCTGATGCCTCCTGCTGTAAATGTGTTTATCTGTAACGCCACTCACAGCTACACACATTTATATGCTTTTCCATGTTGCATATTGTACTGTGACATTTTTGCTGAACGTAACAAAATTCAAACCGTAAGAGTGGAAATGAACTATATTGTTTGCATTGCGTTTTAGTTTTGGGAAACAAAACATTGCCTTTTTTACTTTTCAGTGACATTCAGCTTTTGGGTTTCTTACAGAAGGGTCAGGAATAGTGAAGCTCAGAGTGGTGTAGTTGAGGGTGTTTAATAAAACCAGACTCTAAAGTGTTTGTGAATTCAGACCTGAAGCACGATGCAGAGCTCTGCACACCGTTTGGAACAGAAATTCCTGACAGCGAACGTCACTACATCAGGAAAAGCAAAATTACTTCATAATACATGAAACAGTTACTCCTTTCTTTTGTATTTTGAAAAAACCAGTCTGTAGACAGACATGGACTCTGAGGTGTCTTTGGAGGAAGTAATTGCTTTCAGAAAATGTATCTGTATAAACGATTGGGTGGAAGATGTGCTTGGGTTTAAATGTCCGGCCATATCAAGTGGTTTTTCTTTCCAAGTAAATCAAACCAGCAGTTGCTTTGCATTCAGTGCTCTCAGGTGACATTGATAGAAATGTGAGCTATGCTCTTGTGGAGGACTGTCATGTAACGTACGTGTTGCGATTGCACGTGCAGTGGCTGCCTGGCGTGGCCGTAATGCAGTCACGCTTTTTGCATTCTAACCCTGGGCACGCGGGGCCTTTTCCGGTTGTTTCTGTGCACAACACCACTATTAATCCAACTAGTCCTACTACAGCAACAATGGCAAGTGCAAACCGTGGTCCAACGAGTCCGTCCGTTACAGCAATCGAGCTCATCCCCTCCGTAACAAACCCAGAGAATTTACCCTCCCTACCAGATATCCCACCCATCCAGGTCAGTGGAGACGGTCGGGCGCTTACGCTGTGGGCGGAGTGGTGATCCGCTTTCCGTTCTGGGTTGGCTTTACCGGGGTGTGGGTACTTGTCTGTGGAATGGGGTAGTTGTCATTAAAGTCGATAAATTAAAACCTTCAGCCCTTGTCTTGGGCATGCGGCTGTTTCTGCTGTGACCTGCTCGGCCTGCGTCAACCCTGCGATGCATCGGGGTTCAGCGGCTGTCCCGTGCTAAACTGGATCCTTAGGCCAGTGAATCCCAGGTACCGCGAACTCCTGTCCTCCCACGGGACTTGGGGGAAGCTGTCCCTGAATAGTTACGTATGCGGAATGCCCTGAAGGGTGGCTCCTCCCTGACATTCCTAAAGGGAACAATCGCATGCAGGAAGTAGAGGGAAGAGGCGTCCCGCTGCCCTGCTGAAGCTGGCTTCCGAGATTCACCGTGAGCTGCAGCAGCGTCTGCCTGGGAATGCCTGCTCGCGCAGCGGGACTGTCGCCGCTCCTGCGGCTTTCAGCTCGTCCGCGCGCCGTTGGCACTCGCCGAGCGGGGCTGCAGCGTGCCCGTGCTCTGCCCAGCGGGCAGTGCTGTGTGCGGGTGGAGGCAGACTGCCGACGGCAGGCTCCTTGCGAGACGTCGGAGCGTAGTTTAACCTACGAGTCGAGGCAAAGAAGGTGGAAGTAGTAGGTTTTCTGCAGGAGTGTTTGGGAGGGTGGGGGCTTTGTCTTGGACCAGGATGCTTACACCGAAATGCCCGTATAAAGCACGGGAGATTCAGTCAGGATACAGGAAACAGGCGCCTTAGGAACAAACCCTACAGCTCCTCCGAGCCGACGCTCTGCTGCGACGCCAGCAGCAGCCTTTGCACTCTTCCTCTGGAGAGCCACGTTCAGGGTTGCACGGTCAGCTTTCTCGTGAGGCTGCAGGTCACTTGCTGTGTACGAATAGTGGGGAGAAAAAGGATCACGTCTCTGACCGTGATAGTGAGCGGTTCTGGTAAGGGCACTGATCGCCGCTTAGCCATGTGGAGCTAGTAAGGAACTTTAATTAGGCCTCTCTGATTCTGACTTTTGGTTTTGCCTCTTAGCTTGAAGATGCTGGTTCGAGTAGTTTAGATAACCTCCTCAGCAGATACATTACAGGCAGCCACCTACCCCCGCAGCCCACAAGCACCATGAACCCCTCCCCAGGACCTTCCGCTCTCTCTCCAGGGTCATCAGGTAAATGTGAGGCATGTTTCTCCTATTTAAGTTGAAAACAGTTATCTACCATTGCCTGCCAAAGGGGAAGGGATATGTTGTTAGTTTAAGCTTTATTTTGCCCACACATAAATTCTTCTGGAAATGTAGATTTTACCCTCCTTCAGAAATAGCTTTGTGTGAACAAACTCCAGCACATGAATGCGATATTCCAGATACATGTACGGCCTGTATTTTTGTCCTGTGTTATCACAATCCTATTTTCTTTTTTTTGTGCACCAGAGGATGTAATTTTATAGAATGACAGTGTCAGAAATACTTACACCCAACAGCCTTTTGAGCAAGACCATTCTAAGTATAGCAAATTGATGATCAAGCTTACATTGTGCATGTGAACAAATTAATTTACAAATGCCTGATGTTGAGTTCTTTCAACGCTGAAAATGTCCATTTCTATTAGTAAGAACCTGATTTCAGTCTCTGTGTATTTCTCTTAGTCTTCTCTGCAAGGTTATTGTAAGATGCTGTGAATGAGTGGCTGCAGCAGTGGAACTTACTATGTTTCTCAAGACCTGCATGCAGCATACAGAGTCTGCTTTTCCTGACTTTATGGGTGGGTGTCAGTGGATAAAATTTGAGGACGTAATGGGCTGAGGGCTATGGCATTATTTTGTTAGGCGAAATAATTATTGGGACTCTAACAACTGTGCTGTCTGTGTTTTTTTGGTTCATGTGGCATGCTAGACCTTTCTTCTGTCCCTGTCCAACGACCGAGAGGGCAGCTGGTGGGAATTATTAGAGTATTCTAGCAGCACTTCTGGTGTACTCGACATTCCAGTATTTTTTACTGGAGTATGTAAATTTGTACCAAGACAACTCCTACACTGCTTCTTTGCAGGTTTATCCAACTCCCACACTCCTGTGAGGCCGCCCAGTACCTCCAGCACTGGCAGCAGAGGAAGGTGAGTTACATGAACACTGCCAGGCTGAAAAATCAGACCTGAAGGGTTCAGAATGAATTGGCAGTGGGTCAGTGAGGCTTGGATACAACTGTAAACCAGTAAGGGAACAATGCTGACTTGAAGAAGCTTTGGGTTTCCACACACCCCCCCCTCCTTCACTGTGGTTTTGTGCTGTCTTGTAAACTCGAGCTCTCTTGACATGCTTTGCCTTTGAAATCGTTCAGGAAACGGTCACTTAAATTTCTTTGCTCTGAGTTTTCCTCTTACTCGTTTGCTTGTGTCTTTCTAGCTGTGGCTCCTCGGGCAGAACTGCTGAGAAAACTAGCATTAACTTCAAGTCTGACCAAGTGAAAGTCAAGCAAGAGCCGGGGACAGAGGAAGAGATATGCAGTTTCTCAGGAACAGTGAAACAGGAAAAAACAGAGGATGGCAGGAGGAGCGCTTGCATGGTAAAGTCACTTTGTACAACAGCGTGTTACGGTTCCCCTAGCAGCACGTTTAAGAGTTTGGAGATGATAAAGCTCCTGTTGTGTGAACAGCCCTGAAGACGAGGAGGTGTCGGGGTTTAACCAGGTGCTCGACTCCCTGGCAGGACGTCTGAACTTGGCGTGTGGGCGGCTGGAGTGGGGAGCTGCCTGGTTTTGTAGCGCTGCTCACTTCTGGGGCTGTGCCGTCGGTACCAGTAAATGGGCAGTGGGACGTGGGCAGAGGCCTGCGGGCTAAGTTGGTGAACAGATAAAATCAAACGGTGGCAGATGTTTCCCTTTCTGATTTGGACAGGGCTTGACCTAGTGATGCAGATGTAAAACACGCCCGGTCCGTGTCAGCTTTGTGTGTCGTGACGGGTAGTTCCGGTTGAAAGCAGGCTGCTAGGAAACACAACTTCTTCTCAGTCTGGTCCATGTCGAGGACTTTATTACATCCTTTAGTACCGTGCGCTGCCAGACACGGGGCGGTCTGTCACGTATGTTCTGTCTTCAGCTGTGAGAATGAAATACCCCCACGGTGCAGTGTGGTCCCTGCTCTTAATCCCTCACCACTAACAGCAGTAGGTCACCCTGTTAGTGGTGCCGGAACACTCGCACGTGTCATGACACTGAGGAATCTCCCAGTCAGAAGCTCCTACGCCAGGGCGTCAGTGGGATGTGTATGCAGGTGAATACGTCTGGGCGTTCCCAGCCATGGGATGGGACACAGTTCCCATCTGATGGGACTGTGAGATGGGCGCAGGGTGATGGATTTGAGGATTTCTCCAGTGACTGTGAAGGTGTATTTTTCACAATTTATCAGTGTGCTTGGCTTGAAAGTTTAGCATGTTACGTATCAGTAGAAATGAGTCTGTTCTTGAGAGGATGGACCTGTGAAAACCTAGTTTTCAATACGGGGTGCATCTCAGGTCTTCGTAATGACTTGCCATGTATTTTGGGAAGTGAGTATTGTACCTCTGAATGGAGGGTGGCTTTTGACTTGAGCTTGTGAAGAAAGATGCCCTTGTAAGTTGACTCTGATTTTCATGTGCTACTTTCATTTCAGCTTAGCAGTCCCGAGAGCAGCTTGACGCCACCACTGTCCACTAACTTGCACCTGGAAAGCGAATTGGAAGCCTTGGGGAGCCTTGAAAATCACGTGAAAACAGAACCAGCAGATTTAAGTGAAAGTTGCAAACAGTCTGGACATAGCCTTGTAAATGGAAAATCCCCGGTGCGAACCCTAATGCACCGGTCAGCTCGAACGGGAGGAGAAGGCAGTAACAAGGATGATGACCCGAATGAGGACTGGTGTGCCGTATGCCAGAACGGAGGGGATCTGCTGTGTTGTGAAAAGTGCCCGAAGGTGTTTCACCTGACTTGTCACGTGCCAACACTCCTCAGCTTCCCAAGGTACCCAACAGTGCTGGTCCCTGAGCGCAGCTCTGGGCTCGTTGGCGGGGTAGATTTCGGCACAGCAGCGAGTGTTTCATCCTCGCTGTCGGCTAGCTCTGGCGGATTTCGTGTCCATAAAAGCCTGACATTTCACAGGTCTGCCCGGGTTGGTTTGTGTGTAACTGCTCGGCATTGGTCTGGGGCACACGTGGTCTCCAAGTGGGATTCTGTTACGTGAATTTCATTTTAAAGTCATGGTGACAAAGGTGTTGGAAAGTATTAGGACATACTTGGGAGAGGGATGTGAGGGCAGGAAAAATGGCCTTGGCTGGCAGAGTTATCGGGAGCATTAAGGGTGGTTCTTACCTGCGGATATGTAAGGCTTCCCTCCAGTGCAGTCGGAATCTGCAAGAGCTAATGAAAAAATCTTGGTAGCCATCACTGATGAGGCTTTGTCCCTGGATATCTGCAATAACTGTGTTTGTTCCTCTGTAGTGGGGAGTGGATATGTACGTTCTGCAGAGATCTGAGCAAACCAGAGGTAGAATACGATTGTGACAATTTACAACACAGCAAGAAGGGGAAAACAGCGCAAGGCCTGAGTCCTGTGGACCAAAGGGTATGTCTCGAACCTGCAGCAATCTGATTTCCAGAAGAAAGGGCTTTCTCACACTAGTGGTCCCCCATTGTTTCTTGAAGATGGTTTTGTTGTGGCTGCAGTAAATTATAGTTGTGGCTTTTGCAAACAAAACCCCTAAATGAGTAATGGGACTTTTCTGTGACCACCGTCCCATCAATCAGCCTGTGCCTAAAGGGTTAGAGCAGTATCAAATCAAATCCCTCCGAAGGAATAACAGGCAAAGGAAAATACTTCAACAGGGAATTCGTAGAAACACTCTGGGTTTTGGTTTCAAATGGTTTAATTTTGTTTTGTGGGGAAAAGAATGCAGATGTGTGGCTCGGTCCTTTCCTGCTGCATGCAGTTACGATCAGACAAAAGCAGCGGTAGGGTGGTTGCATGCGTTTGAGTGTGCTAGCTTGCCTCTTCCCATTTGGTGGTGGGCTCGTGCTCAGGGGCAAGAAGGCAGAAAGGGAGCGTGTCTGCGCTGTGCGAGCGGTGGGGTGGCGTTCACCCCTCTCAGCGACGCCCTCCGAAGGACTTTGTGGTTTATAATGAAGCTTGTGGGGGTGGCTTTAAAGCCTTGGAGTACTAAGCTGCTAAAGAACAAACCTGTTGGGAACAGGGAGGTATGAACTTGTGGGCTGAGGATGAACGAAGGGTATTAATGTGACACTGTTTCTTTCTTTCTAAGAAATGCGAACGCCTCCTGCTGTACCTGTATTGTCATGAGCTGAGCATTGAATTCCAAGAGCCCGTCCCAGCCTCGGTGAGTCTCCTAAAACTGTCTGTGACTGATTTTTTGGCAGAACATCTCAAAGTCTGGGGTTGAGTTTGGGGAGGAACTGACTGCTGTTACTTGAGCGTGTCCCCTAGAGCTCGTGATTCCGAGAGGCAGCAGCTCATCCCACAGCTTCTCCGTGCAGAGGCTTTACCCAACATCTCAAACCCAGATGTTTGAAAAGACTTTCCATTGGCAGTTACTCAGTTGGAAAGGGATGTCTCAGGACATCCCTGAAATTTAAAATGCTTTAGGAGAGATGGGTTTTTTTTTTCCTTTGGACAATCATTTTGGTGAAAGGAGGACAAAGTGCTTGGACTCTTGTGTTTTCAGCTGTAAAAGGAGTAACTGTAGCGACAAGCGTTGCTGTGCTGTGGTAGACGCAGTATTAGAACTTGTTAACAGCGTGAGGGAAGTAAGTTGGTCTCACTTGCTGACCGTGCGTGCGTGACAAGGTGGGCTGAGCGATGCTTCGGTAAGTGAAGACACGCAGCTGCGGCTGTGCCCTGTGTAGTCGCTGTAGTGATGAATTACTTTGGTTTTTGCAGATACCAAACTACTATAAAATTATAAAGAAACCAATGGATTTGTCTACGGTGAAAAAGAAACTGCAGAAGAAGCATTCACAACATTACCAGACTCCTGAGGATTTTGTGGCAGACGTCCGGTTGATCTTCAAGAACTGTGAAAGGTTTAATGAAGTATGTTAACTTCCAATCTGGTACATTTCTCTGAGGTGAAGGTTTATCTCCACTCGGTTCTGCGGCGTCTCCAGTGAAAGGCTCTGCTTCCGGCTGTAACTTCTCCTTGTGCAGCAGCTGAATCAGACACTTAAAAGCAAACAAACCAAATGCAAGTGCAGAACTACCTCTCAGTTTTAGCTCCGCGGGAGATCAGGCTTTAACGGGGCAACGGTTTGCATGCACCCACTGCTGTGGATCTGGCTGAGGGGCAGGGAGACCCGGTTACTGCACAGGGAATAGGTTGTGGAAGACCTTAGGAAGGGTGGTAGTAAAGACAGTCAAGCAGTCCTTAAAACTCTCTCAAGCTGTACAGATAATATTTCTTGCACTCCTGAAACAGGGTAGATTTCTACCGAAGAACCTTCCTCTACTGAGGAGAAGTGCCTTTCTGAGGAATATTCCGCTGGCCCGAGTACCTCACGCAGGTTAATCCGGAAATCGCTGTGTTCCTCAGGGCATGGGTTCTGTGATTCTGTGCTTCGGCTTCGTGCTTTAGCTCAGGGCTGCTTGGGCTCTCGCAAAAATCAGTTTCCAGTGGGTAACCTCTGCACAGAGTCCCAGTTTTGATGAATGTGGGAAGGTCCCTTATTCTGCACCGAAGCCCTCTGATAATGCAGTATTTGTGTCTTACGTGTGAAACGGCACCTGGGGATAAACCCAAGTGTTATTACTGGGGGGAGCAATGGAAAAAATACTCTGAATATCAAAGAAAAAAAGTGGGGTTGTGCTGAGGCAGAGCAGGAGGCGAGACGAGGGTGTCCTCACCCCCAAGTGCCTTAAAGCAGGGGTGGCAAAGCCCTGGGGAGAAGGCGTCGCAGGGAAGGGCCTTTGTCCTGCCTTAGAAACACACAAACCAGCCAGTACTTTTCTGCAAAACGTCATCTGAGTGTTGCAGTGTTTGGGCTGCATTTCTGGCTCTGGAGAAGTAAATTGAAGCAGTTACACACACCCAGTTAAAATCTCCGCTGTCTCAAAGCGCACTAGTGAAAATGGAGTGCGAATGCACCTGGGCCTTGGGCACCCCCGCCCCTTACCTCTCTGAATTAGGTGGAGGTTAGCGAGCACTGGGGAGGATGTTGTGATTATGCAAACGTCTCGGACAAGGGAGTTCATGAAGCCCCTGCTGTAGAGGAAACGTGCTGGAGCTCTTGGGGACAGGAGGGGGACAGGGGAGCAGGGGCGGGAGGATGTGGTGCTTCGTTTGGGTTTGGTTTGGCTGCCGGAGGAGCCTCGGGCTTGCCCTGCCGCTTGAAATGCTGGCCCGGGGCAAAGGGTGCGTCACCTTGGCCTCTCCCAGTAGCATCATGGCTAGTGCTAGGCCACGTGCCTTTAAAACACGGAAATCCGAGTGGGGTGAGACCCCCGGCAGTAGTCCCCTGGAGCGCTTCTCCGAGTGACACTCCCCAGGGTGACGCCCAGGGCACCGAAGCCCAGAGTGACAAGGCAGTGAGGAGCAGAGCGCGCTCTGGCAGTGGCTGGGAGGCACTGGTACAGCGGTTGTGTGTCGGGTTGAAGGTTTGTTTACCTCGTGTCACCCTCCTAAGACTGTTTTAAACCTGCTGCCGCTAAGTTTGAGAACTAATGAGGTGTAGTCCGTAACAAACCGTTCTGTTACGGCTGACCTTAGTCACCCAATCCTGTGCAATCTCATAACTTTAGAAAGGATTATAATTTCCTTTTTTTTTGACTCTGGTATCCTTTTTAGATGATGAAAGTTGTTCAAGTTTATGCAGAAACACAAGAGATTAATTTGAAGGTAAGCGTTTCAGACCACGCACACTTGGTGAAGGGATGTGCATTTCCACCAGGTGAATGTTCCTGTCTTCTTCTGTCCGCAGGCGGATTCAGAAGTAGCGCAGGCAGGGAAGGCAGTTGCATTGTACTTTGAAGATAAACTTACAGAGATCTACCCAGACAGGACCTTCCAGCCTTTGCCTGAATTTGAGCAGGAGGAGGATGATGGTGAAATAACTGAGGACTCCGATGAAGATTTTATACAACCACGTAGAAAACGCCTAAAATCAGATGAGAGACCAGTGCATATAAAGTAACCTAATGATACGGACCTCAATTTATTGTAAAAACTGTTATTTAAGTGTTCCTGGAATATTGTCATGCCTGCAGTGGCCATCTTGAAGAAGCTGATAACTTTTAAAACAGTATTAGAACACAAAAAACACTTGTACAGAAAAGCATTCTCATCAAAAGGGGGAAAAAAAACTGTATTGTAAATTTTTGGTGGTTTTTTCCTTTTCCCTTGATTATTTGCTACACTCTCTCTTTTCCTGGTGGAGGGGACACACTGTTCCTGGTCCCACAGATAGAGGTGGATGAATGTTGGAGGAGCAGGTTTGGCAGGAGCTGTTCCCTGTGCGGCTGAGGCCGCTCAGCGCCGCTCTGCGGGCCGGGCCGGCCCAGCCCTGCACCTCGCCTTCCCGCCGGGCGGCAGCGTGGACTGTTAACAGCATTCCCGAAACCCCCTCCGTGTGCGAACAAGTGTGTGTTGGTCATGGCTGTTGTCATCTCAGTTAAGCGGTATCGTGAATAACTGATCTCCTGTGTTTATCCAATTACCTAAATTTCACTTTCTTTACTACGTTTTATGTATAGCAGAAGGAAAAAAAGTCATTAAACTGCTCTGAGTTGGCGAGTTCGGGAGTGTGAGTTCTTGAGAGATGGAAGACCAGCCCGGTGGCCAGGGTCCCCTCCGGCAGGGGGAGGGGTGTTTGGGGGGA